ACTAAGTTTTATTCTCCCTGATAGAACGGCCATGAGAATAAAATGATGGAAAAGCTCACTCTATTGGCCTGTCAGAGGCAATTTGCAGCTGATTTCTTTCTGCCTAAGTTCTATCAGACGGTAATCACTTGAACAGCTTAATTGAAAATCACTTATGTTTGTAGCTGAAATTAAATGTTTTGTATTTAAATAACCAATTTTGATTAGAATCATATTTTGTTGAAAGTGGTTGGTTTTATCTGTGTTCTGTAAAGATGTTTCTAAAAACTCATCAAAGTTCTAGCAGTAAGTAACATCCTATTCAATACAAGGTGAAATGTTTTACATCCAATCTCATGCTGTGTAATAGCCAATCAAAGGGTATTTAAGGTGGCTGAATGGATTTCTTGGCTCAGTATTCAAAAGTAAACATTTTAAGACATTAACATGCTTTTGCCGCTTTTGAAAGTTGATTTTATGTAATCCTCATTATTTGCAACTCCTGAAATCGCCAAAGATCTTGCTTAAGCAGCAGGTACCCACACATCTTTTTCATCCTTATACAGATTTACTGAAATGTAGGTTGTTTGAAAATGGATGTAGCTTTGGGGCACCTATCTATTTATCTGTGTAAATATTCTCATTTCCTATTTAAGAACACAGCTTTGTTTTGGTAAACATATATCACTGATTTCTAAAAATCCAAAAGAAAAAAAAAAAACTTGTTTTATTGTGTTCTTATTTGTCAAGTGTTGTTGTGGTTCTTTTTAGGTATCCAATAGGAAAAGCACTCTCCGGTCTTCATCTACAGAACTGGATAGTTCCTACTTGAGTGTTGCCAGACCACAAACCTACTACTATCAAACCAAACAAAGACCTAAGTCTGCAAATCATGATTCAGCTTCAAAATCCTTTCTGGAGTATAGAAACAATTCTTTGAAACCAGTAACCCTTCATCATTCCAAAGAGGATCTAGATAGGGTACCATCATTAGCCAGAACTGGTAATTATGACTCTCCTGGGAGAAAACCACTGGATGCAAAAAAAGCTCTATCAGAAGAACTGAAGATGAAGGAAAGCCCACACCTTACACATACTCCATCTATTCAGTGCTGTGGTCACAGACTCTCCGAAAATGATCATGGTCATGAGAGCCATCCCACAAACATAGCCCCTCAACATCTTAAGACACACACAGAATCCTGCAGTCATTGTGGGCTTTCTTGGGCAGCTCTGATGCATGGTGGGAGGTCACTGGATCCTAGTGAAATTGATGTCAAAAAACAGCTCTCAGAAGAAAGAAGGCAGCAACTGATGCTTCAGAAAATGGAACTGGAACTTGAAAAGGAGCGCCTTCAGCATCTGCTGGCCCAGCAGGAGACAAAGCTTCTCCTGAAGCAGCAGCAACTTCACCAATCTCGACTGGATTACAATTGGTGAGTCCTACCTGCTCTTTCAGCATTGTCTGCAGTTTGAAGAAAATGGTGCAAAATGACTGTTATGATGCAGAGGTGTAGGAGAAAACGGTTCTTCAGGATCTAAGCTTGCTCGAGATTCATACCAACTATGACCACTAAGTAAATTCCCTGTCTTCTGTGAAAGAGTTGAAAAATTACCTTGTCTTCCAAAATGTTAGCTTAGAATATCTGCCTCTGAGCAATCCAGTATAATTTTTTCTGGGTTCTAAAGAAATTTTTAAATGATATTACCATTTTACAAAGTCATGACTGTTTGATGTTATCATAGAGATATTAGTAAAAGCTTGATATTTCAGGGTTTGGAATCAAATTGTGAAGAGGTGTGATTAGCTGCCATCATTGCATATTTATATCTACTTACCATAATATAAAATATAACCAGGCGTCCTCAAACTACGGCCCGCAGGCCACATGCAGCCCTCCTAGGACATTGATCTGGTCCGCCAGGTGTTTTTGCCACTGCTGCCTGTCCTGCTTAGCAGCCAACTCGTCCCGGGGCCCGCAGTCCCACCCTCCAACAGTCTGAGGGACAGTGAACTGGCCCCCTGTTTAAAATGTTTGAGGACTCCTGGACTAGAGCCTTCTAAATTCATCCTATTCAGGTCATGAAACGGAACTTATTTAAACCACTAACTGCCATGTGAGTTGTATTTAACTTATTCTAGTTTTGTGCCCTTGTGAAGCATGTATGGAGCAGAACTGGAGAGACTTGCACAATGACTGCTACACTAGAAAAAAAGGTTTTTCCTCTTGGGGCCACAGTGTTGCATATGCTTCACGAGGTGCTGGGCTCAAAACTAGCATGAATTAAGTACAACTCACGTGGCAATTAATGTATTCAATCTAATAAAGCACCATGACTCCAAGGAAAAAAATTTTCTTTCTATTGTGGCAGTCAATGTGTTAATAACCAATTCTTACAAATTTAACCACATTTAGGCTATTATTCCCTTAACAATTCCCTAAGCACAATGTTTCAAAACCTAAATTGCTGTTTTGTTATTGTGAGTGCTCAGTTTCTCCACATCCCTGATGGTATTTGGTATTATCTCTAATTTTTATGTTACCTCTTCTAATATCTGGATGGTGATATTTCCTTATGGCCTTAATTTACATTTCCCTAATAGCTAGTGATGATGAACTTTTTTTGATGTGCTTGTTTTCTCTCCTCTTTGGTAAATTATGTCTTCAGTGTCTTTTACCCTTATTCTAATCAGATCATCTGGATGTCTTTACTTGCTTGAGCCTTCTTCATATCTTCTAGATGTCAGTCCTTTGTCAGATACATGGATTGAAAATATTTTCTCTCAGTCCGTAGCTAGTCTTTTCAATCTCTTTAACAAGATAAGATATTTGACAAAACAAAAGTTTTTAATTTGGGGAGGCACCTGTGGCTCAATGGGTAGGGCGTGGGCCCCATATACCGGGGTGGCAGGTTCGAACCTGGCCCCGGGCCAAACTGCAACAAATGCTGCCTGGGCACTGTGCTGGGCACCTGTAATCCCAGCTACTTGGGAGGCTGAGGCAAGAGAATCACCCAAGCCCAGGAGTTGGAGGTTGCTGTGAGCTGTGACACCACAGCACTCTATCAAGGGCAACATAGTAAAACTGTCTCAAAAAAAAAAAAAGTTTTTAATTTTAATGAAGTCCAACTTATCGATTATTTTCTATTACAGATTATATAAAATTTTAACATTACTAAGTATTGAAATTTGTCAAATACCGTTTATGATTGTGATTTTTTTTATTTAGCCTGCTAATGTGGTGAATTACATTTATTTTTGAATGTTGAACCAGCCTTGAATCCATAGAATAACCCCGTTGGTCATAGTGTACACATATTTTATGTATTACTAAGTTCATTTACTAATATTTTGTTAAGGACATTTGAATAAGAATGGATAAGGGATGTTGGTCTGTTGTTTTCATTTCTATATTCTCTTTTTCTTGTTTTGGTATCTAGGTAATACTGACCTCATAAAATGGGTTGGGAAGTGTTCTGTCCAGTTCTGCTTTGTGAAAGAGATTATGTAGAATTGCTGTTAATTCTTTTTTAAATATTTGGTAGACTTCTCCACTGTTTGATGAAAATATTTCAAATGGTATATAAAACCAGCACATCGTACCCCATGATTGCATTAATGTACACAGCTATGATTTGATTAAAAAAATATCACATTATACCCCCCCCCCAAAAAAAGAGTTTTAAAATTGGAAGTTCAGTTTCCTTAAACTTAGAGCTATTCAAGTTATCTGTTTGATACTGAGTGAGCTGTGGTTTGTTTGTGCTTTTTGAGATGTTGATCCATCTTATCTAAGTTGTCAACTTTATGTGTGTAGGCTTGTTTTTAGTATTCTGCCATCACCCTTTTGGTGTCTGAAAGGTTTGTATGAGTAGTTACTAGCAATCCCTGGATTGTGGATGACCTGACATGTGGCATTCCATACTTATAAACCAGCTGCCAAGGCTCCCCATAAGGATAATTTATAATTAAGTAATTGAAT